AGGGAAGGCTTTTGCGCAGCCAACGCTCTACCACTGAGCTACGAGGCTCACCTTGCGCCGTGAATTTAATCACACTTGGGTCGATTTGCTCGCCCAGCTTTATGGAATCCACCAATACGGACGCAGTAAACTGACTGCCAGGCAGGATTCCCTAAGTAATCATCTAGAATCCACCGGATAGACTACTAGGCTAACCTTGGTTGTAAGCAGTTTTGGCAGATTTTAAACTGGGCAAAAAATCGACCTAAGCGTGATTAAATTCCCTGTGCACGGTGAGTCTCGTGGCTCAGTGGTAGAGCGTTGGTCGTGCAAAAACCTCCTCTGTTGTGTGGGTTCAACTCCTACCGGGGCCGCAAATTTTTCACAATTGGGTTAATCGAATTATTGAAATCTGTCAAACCTCTAATATTCAAGTGTCTATAGACACAAACCAAAATTTCAAATTAATATTTGGGTCGAAGTTCATTAACCACCATGGGATAACCATATAATATTCCCGAGTTGACTTCAAGGCAGTTGGCCATATAACCCACGTAATTAGTAACATACTGGCAGCAAAGGTACTAACTAAAACACCAGACACGTGCTTCAGTGATATTCTGCTGCTGCATAGCACGGCTGTGAGATGAGGTTCAACAGTGGGTCTCTCAGCATTCCCCGTGTGCTTGCTGGTAGGTAAATAATTACGTATAATATATTACAGACTGTCTATTTGTAGTTTAATGAATATTACGCGACTATCCCACAATTTTTAATAGACTTCGGCTCAAATATTCATATTAAATTTCGGTCTGCGCACATAGACCCTTGAGTGTACTAATCTACTCCAAGTTCGAGATTACTTTACGAGGAAATCAAAAAGCTACAATATTTTATCAGTATTACATCAAACGAAATTGTATGCAGGTAGTAGCCTTGACCACCCGTTTTTGGAAGCGTAAACAGAGCAAATGCCGCTCGATTTTTTGTATTTCATAGTACGGTAGTAATATGCGATAATTATAAATGCAGTATTGCTAGGTACAGCAGGTGAAGCATGATGAAATCATTTCTGATTTTAATTTTTCTTAATCAATTAATGTCAAAAATGCTGTATACATTTTGTCGGACGCGAAAATTGTACGGATTGTATCTTCTGACTGGCGAATTTGTAGTGTTAGATTCCAGGAGGAAAATACGCGAATTTTTAAAAATGCTGATACGGAAGCACGACGTTTTAGCGGACAACCTGTCCGGTCTCGAACATTTGCCTTTAATTACACAGTCTTCTATTCTTATGGTAACGGTGTATATAAGAAGAAGAAAAAAAAGAACAAGAAGATGCGATCACTGGACCAAGAGCTTTATTTTCGTGACGTTTCTGATTCCGTCGGGAATCCTTAATCATAGGTAATGGTAGCATATCTACGCATGAATCAGACGATACCACCATTACCTATGATTAAGGATTTCCGACGATATCAGAAACGCCACGAAAATAAAGCTCTTGTTCCAGTGATCGCGTCTTCTTCTTCTGGACTGCCTTCTGGAACTCACATACATATTTACGTGTAGATAAGCTCGGTTTTGGTTTTTTTGAATAATTTTTTAGATAGTCCACTCTGATTTTACCTCTCTCACTAAAAAAGAGAATTTTTAACAACTTACTAAAAAATTGAAATTGCTTTACCTTACTTGACTAGTCGGTCAGGCTGCAACGCGACCTACGGGAGCTGGAGGCCCAACGTGAGGACAATGAGGCACGTATTGCAACTCTTGAACAGAGATACCTCTCCGCTCAACACGAAGCCACAATTGCACATGAAAAAGCTAGCCATGTCAGCTCCGAACTGATTTCCCGCGAGGCTGAATTAAAACAGGTGAGTGACGTCTGTCAGCAGAACATACTATCTCCGTTTCGGGCACATCTCAGAACTCACGTGCTTGCTTATAACTGTATAAACCATGTAAGCGTCAAAGTTATCTTCCCGGTCGTTTTACTTATTCCGCAAGTTAAGCAAATATCCGAGGTAATGCGACCTTCACTCATTACTTTAAAAGCATTACATCAGAGTCGGCTTAAGAAAGTTCAGCCTTATGGGCGTAAGTTAATTTCTAGAGCTAATTACAATTCCATCTTTGAATGGATGCGCCATGTCTGCCAGAATTTAGGTTTTACCGTGCGTCGGTTCTCATCGGTAAAGTGTGTCTCGGGTAACTCCTCACTGTGTTCCATACCATGCACGTCTGTCCTGTAGCAATAAGTCTCCCGTCCTCTATCTGTTTATACTTGTAGTCTGAAGAACGTGTCAACCATCTGCACATCGAAGTGGACATGCTGAAGAACAAGAATGAGGATCTGCTGGTGCAGCTGGAAAAGTATCGCAATGGAACTGACCAGACGACGAAGGGCGAGGCCTCCGAACAGATAGTCTCCTCGACGGGGTCTGTTGGAACCCTGGAGAATGGGGTGGCAGCAAAACCTCAAGAGGCCCAGTCGGAGGAGCACAAGGCTGCGGCTTTGAGTGATGCAGATGCCAGTAACCTGAGACAACAACTCAGCCAGGCAGACGATCGAATTCGAGAAATGCAGGCAGCCATGACAGAGACCCAGGCGGAACTCCAACGAGCACGCCAGCGCGAGCGCCTGAACGAGGACCACAGCGCTCGTCTTACAGCCACCGTACGTCCCCTATGACACGTTTTATTGGCTGCAGCTGAATGCAGATACTCAAAAATGCCTATTTTTGCGTTTAATTGTGCACATTTAGTGTTAAACAACATATTTACAGTTTTAGGTCACTAACCACAGATAGTAATCAGTTGGAACTGACTCAACATCAGTAGATTTTGTACTTTATGCTGTAGGTGCTTCGTAATAGTCAGTCTTTACAACTGCGTGTTGCGAAATGCCAGAATTTGTCAGCCAATTGACAGGCGAATGCTACTGGACTTTGAATTAGATGAATTCCGTCGCGTACGCGGTTCGCTAAACATTTCTTTGATACTTTGATTCGTTGATACTTTCAACCGAAAACGGTTGGAATTGTCGTTGAGGAACGTTAACTTACCGTTAACGCAACTCACTTGTCCACTTGGATTTGGGCATGACTTGCTAATAACGGCTTATTAGCCACAAATGGCCATTCGGGTCTCTCTTTTA